TGGACACCTGCGGGAATAAGGCAAAGAAACATAAGGAGGCGCTTCATAAAAATCTGGCTTCTATACATATTAGCTGTTGGCAAAAAAGATGTAGGGTCTAACATTAAACCCCCAGGACTGCTGCTGGATCTACACTCCAGCTTGTGATAAATCTATTGCTGGTTTATGAATTCTGAAGAATTTGTCAGTCTAGTGAGTAAGCACATATGGGTCGGTTTTGGGTTGCAGTGCATATCTGAATGCTATGACATAAGAACGTAAGAGAAGCCATGTTGGAACAGACCAATGGCCTATCCAGTCCAACACTCTGTGTCACACAGTGGTCAAAACCCAGATACCATCAGGAGGTCCACCAGTGGGGCCAGCACTCCAGAAGCCCTCCCATTGTTACCACCCAAGTACCAACATCACTGCCACAGATATAGTGTTCTATCTGTACCTTGTGGCTAATAGCCACTGATGGACCTCTTCTCCATATGTTCATCCAGTCCCCTCTTGAAGCTGCCTAGGCTTGTAGCCGCCACAATTGCAGGATCCTGTGATCCTGCAGGAAAAACGACTGCACTGTCAAGGAGATGCAGGGGCCTCCCAAACAGCTGACAAGATTGCAGTGAGCTCAGCTGATCCTGAACTAGAAGCGACAGCTTCCACTTCCTACTAGAAGGGGCAACTACGGGAGACAAGAGAAAAGAAGAGCTCTGCAGGTTTTCAGACTCTACAGCACAGAAACTTAGTTTTGTCTAGCTCCACTGGCACTTGCCCAGTGCTGACCACCGGCAAATCCATTGGCAAGATGTTGCCAGGTGCCGGAACAAGGGGGGAAATGAACAGCTTGTAAAGAACATTTTTTAAAAATTACACAAGGGAGCGACTTTTTTCTTACAGCCCAAATAGACTTTATTAAAAAAACAAAAAACTAAGCTCCAGATATAGGCTATATCTGCACTGTGCAGAAAATTACTCACTGCTAAATCATCCCTAGGAGTGCATTAGGGCTGAAGCTTTGCCTTTGTCACAGTGAACTCTTTTGCCGTCTCAGTATTCAGTAGGAAGGACACCTCTGCAGAAGTACAGTAGTCATGATGACCTTGGAAACAACCCACTTTTCCTTTATCAAAGCAAATGAATGTTTCGATCACAGGTGCCCTACCTTCGAAGTTGTAGAGCTTCCACAACACAGACAACTAATATAGAAAAGTCTAGCTAAAATAGAGGGGCCGAGAGTCCTATTTGCCTCCGTCGGCTCAATGAGGCATTGCTCAGAGCTCCAAGTGAACAGTTCACACATCCCTCCTGGCAAGGACAGCTTAATTTGGTTCCAATAGTAAAGTAAAGGTTCCCTTGCTCGAAAGCCAGTCAAGTCCGACTCTAGGGTTGCGGTACTCATCTCCGTTTCAAAGCCGAAGAGCCAGCGCTGTCCGAAGACGTTTCCATGGTCATGTGGTCGGCATGACTAAACACCAAGGCGCACGGAACGCTGTTCCCTTCCCGCCAAAGTGGTACCTATTTATCTACTTGCAATTTCTTGCTTTCGAACTGCTAGGTTGGCAGGAGCGGGAACTAGAGACGGGAGCTCACTCCGTCATGCGGCACACTCGGGTCTCGAACTGCTGAACTACCGACCTTCCACAGCCTGCAGTTCAGCAGTGCTATGACATCACTCCTGGTTGCCTCCCAAGGGCATGGACAGCAGAGGTGACTCAGTGAGGAGCAACACAAAAGTCTGCCTCTGAACAAGGCGGGGGGGGGGGGGGGACAGGAACTGAACATCATCCACCTCTGTCTCAGCTATTTTGAAAGGGATGCTGATGTTCGCATTCCCTCTTTTCTGCAGAGAACAAATTCAAATCTCTGGTTGTGGAAATACAGGCGATTTTCAGGGTTCAATCAGCAGAACAAAATGAGATGTAAACAGTTGCTAGAGATTATGGGAATCATACGAATGTTTAAGAGCATCAGAGGAGCCCTGGCTGGATCAGACCAGTGGTCCATCTAGTCCAGCATCCCGTTTCACACAGTGGCCAACTAGCAGGGAAGAGAGGCCAACGCTTTCCCTTGATGCTACTTCCCAGTGCTGGTATTCAGAGATTTGCTGCCTCTGAATATGGAGGTTCTCTTTAATAACCACGGCTAGTAGATATGCTACAGTTTGGCTCTATGTACAATGATCAGAAGTACAAAGTAGAACGTGATACACATTGCCAAGAATATTGCAAACAACAGTAAAGACCATACCAAAGAGCTGGCCAGCCCAGCTGAGAACAAGTGGACCTGCTGGCGGCAAAGTTAACAAAGGATAACGTGTGCTTTGGTCACTCTGCTTGGGCCAGAGTGAGAAGAGTCACCTCGGAGGTCATCTAGTCCAAGCCCCTGCTCAGTGCCGCCGCGCCAGGTCTTGCACATCCTAAAAAGTCAAAGGCACAAGTATAGGACGAAGAAGACTTGGCTTGGCAGCATTTCATGTGGGAAGGATCTAGGTGTCTTTAAGCCCCTTTCTCAGCCTTGGCCCAAAAGGGCTTCAGGTGAGGACCGAGGACCACACCGGCACGTCTCTCAAGGGATGCCGTGGCATCTGGAGAGACACTGGTGTCCTGGCATGCCTGTGCCACGCTAGTGCTGCACCAATGTCACCACTATGGAAGGTATGCAGAGCTTAGATGTTGAGGGAAATGCCCCTGCCCTGCACACCTCAAGAGCACAGAGACTTGCACTCTGGTGGTGGGAAATAAGCCTGTAGTACTGCACAGGGCGTACTTAGCACAGACACCCAAGGGAGAGAATAAGCATTGCATTTGCCTAACACTATATATTGCTGAGAGCTCTTACGGGTACTGCTCAGGACAGAGACACATAAAGAGAGACTCTGCTCCGTCAAAGGGGGTGCAGGGATAACGTGCCCCACACAGGTCAGCAAGGGAAGTATAGTCTGTTCTTTAAACTGGGACTCCTGCAGCAGTTTCTCCCTCCCTGCCTGCCACATGTTCCTCCTTTGTTTATCCCCCCTAAAAAAAAAAAACCTTCTCCCACCACAGCATCTCAGGGATGTCTCCAGGTGGGAATCGAACCAGGGAACCTGGGCATGCTATACTTGTGCTCTTCCACTACACCATGCCTGTCCCTGCACTCTTCCCTGCCTGGTGCTACATGGCTGGCAGGGACATCAGGGCTGCAAGGGGATGCTCTGCGCCCTCTCGTGCTTGGGGGAGCGGTTAGAGAACCAGTTCCCAGGGTCTGAGAGGGACCATCCTCTGCTGCCTGTCATGTTGCTGCTACTGCTGGGCAAAAAGTGAGCCTTTGTCTTCTGACCACTAATGCCCTTCCTGGGGATTGGCCACACTGTTGTGGGTTCCTCTGTTGGGTAAGCCCCAGGAGCTGAGAACTCTAATAGATCAGCCTGTACAGGCCCCCCCTATTCACAAGAAGGTGTGGCCATCCCAGTGCCTGGCAGTGACACTATAATGCAGGGGTGCCGAACTCATTTCTTATGAGGGCCGGATCTGACATAAATGAGACCTCGTTGGGCCGGGCCACGTGTGTCATAAAATGTAATGCCAGGCAGCGGAGATATAAACTTTATAAAGGACACAAACACAAAGGGGTTTTTTTTTACTTAAAATAAAAGCATGCTTAAAACATTAGCCGTCTTGCAATATTTTGCTTATTGAACAGTGTCCAATAACTGACACCTCTTGATCTGAATTATTGCATCAAAATGTCTGTGCTGCTGCAATCTTGAGTATGCTGTTCAGGTGTGTATCTGAAAGCTGCAAACCTACGATGATGCAGCGGCAGCAGAACTGGAAGAAGAAGCAGACAGCCAGTTCCACTGTGGGCCTGACAGAAGCCATCCGGGGGCCTGATCTGGCCCCTGGGCCACATGTTTGACACCCCTGCTATAATGCATGTCACTTCCTGTCAGTCACTGTCCATTGAGATCAGTCTACACAGAGCTGGAGAATTACTAAACAGTGGGCAAATCTAAGTTTGAACAGTCTGGGCTTTAATTCAATCATAAAGAGAACTGGAGCGTCTCTGTGGACAGGCGGGAAAGGCTTTCAAAAAGCAGTCTAAGGACTGGAATGCTCTTCCCCAACAGCTTTTTATTTAGGGACCCCCATTACGGTCTTTTATGCCAAGAGGTTCTCTGTTCACGTGTTGTGCTCTGAAGAAGGTGGTTTTACAAGATTAACACATCTCATGTTCCCTGGGGATGTCCTCTGTTAGGGTTCCTTGCACAGCTTTGTACAGCACCAACAGTCAAAGGGAACTGGGACGTCTCCTTCAAAGCACCCTCCAAACAAGATCGATAACAGTGTGCAAGAAGAGCCTTACAGGCAACAATAGAGTGCAGGGAAGATGGTTAAATTACCACATGTATATTAATGGAAGACAATCCCCCCCTTTTAAAAAAGTTATACATAGAAGTTTATTACTGTACATTACTCTTAACTTGTATGCAGACTTAAGATGCCTCCCCCCCCTCACTTTTTTTTAATGGTACACATGGGGGGGGGGGAACCCCAGTCTTCCTGTCAGGTAAACAGGGTGCTTCAAAAGAATGGGGAAATCACATGGAAGGAGTGCAGTACCGGAATGGGGGTCTGTGCTTTGGTGTATGGACATGGTTGCCGCTGGGAAAGAAACCTGGATAGAAAGCTGGACACCAGCTACTTTTGCCTGGAACTACTTTTTGGCAATGTAATGTTTCAGAAGCATTACAAATGGTATTTCACATTTAGTGGTCAAAGTCGTATTGAAAAATCAGTTAAGTGCAAAATCCGTAGGATGACCTTTAAGGGGATTTTTTGTTGGGTGCCGAGACTGACGACGGACCCGCTGCTGTTTTAAGTGCTACTTTCCCCCTTGCAGCCAACGGAAGAACAAGCAGAACGGGAACTGAGCGGTGATCCAGACACATCTGTAAGGAACTGCGGGAGAGCACAAACAGCTGGCACTCGCGTCGCGTTGCTGGCAAAACTTGTTCTATGGATACGGCCGTGTTAAAATTTGGAATGCCCAAAAATGCAGATTGGGAAGTGCTTGACATGAGAGGACCACTGTGCGGCCAGCTGGAAGAACTTCACGTCATTCCACTCCACTCCGTCAATCCAGACTGCAAGGAGAGGCAAAAAGAAGGGGTGGTTAAGGTAAAATTGCACGAGGAACCGATTGCGGGTTACGGTTTTGGGGTGAATTGGCTTCCTCCGAGACAATTTCTCTCCCTCCAGGAGCTTGTATATGTTTTACAACAGGGGTCTCCAACCTTTCTGAGCCTGTGAGCAATGTTCCCTCTAAGATGAGTTAGTGTGAGCTAGCTCACAGTTTTTTAGCCTCCGGCTCAGACATTCTTGTCTTAGCTCAGAAAGGATGGCTCCAAAGCAAACTGAATTTATGCAGTAGCCAAATCATTCGCTCACAACTTTAATGCCAGTAGCTCACAAAGTTGGGATTTTTGCTCACAGGACTCCACAGCTTAGAGGGAACATTGCCTGTGAGTGGCCTTACAAATTCCCACGCAGTGTGGTGGGCGCTGCCGCAGAACAGCTTCCACAGAATGGCTACTGAAGGAGGTTAGAGCCAGCCACAAAATGGCTGTTGCCGCTCACCTTCAGTCAAACAGTGAAGATCCTTGCACTGTGGTGGCAGTGGCTGCCAAAGTAAAACTGCTGCTATTGCTGAACATTACTCACGACTCAAACAAAAATCTCCAGTGGCCAATCAGAAGCCTTGCTGGGCAAAAGCCACACCTGGACCAGCCCACTTTCTAAAAGCACCTGGTGGGCGGGAGAAAAGGCGTCAGCAGGCACCACGTTGGAGACACTTGTTTTATAAAGAGAAGCAGTGTGACTTGCCCCTTGCAACAAGTGTGAAAGACATTCTTTGGGAAATAAACATGAGTTAGGGATCAGACTCTTTGCTTAGAGTACATCAACTAAAACTAATCACCAGGATTGATAATACAAGGTTAGTACATTTTCTCCCTTGGCTGTCTTTCTTGCACCGGGGCTGGTGTGTTCCATTTGGACATATGGTCAGCGGCTGGTTTTTATATTTTCAATCAATACCTCCATTTTTGCTGCTTCTTCCCAGAATATATTTATTTAGAACACCACCTTTCTCCCTGGCAACTGGGCCTCAAGGTGGGTAACACATTAAAAACGACATACCTTAACAAAAGTTTAAAGACATCAAACCATTAAAACTGTCTGCAGGAACCTGACAAGCAACATTCCTAAGAGACGACTGCCCCTAAGAAACAAATGGGCTACAGAAGCCATCAAGGCACTCCCAATGGATGTTTACATAGCAGATTTTTATTGCCCAAGTGCAACATTTTACACTTGTCCCTATTCAACTTTATTATCTGCTACCAATCCTCTATCCTACCCAAGTCCTGTTGCATCCTAATTCCAGCTTCCAAGGTATTAACTACCCCACCCAGTTTAATCTCGTCCACAAACTTGATGAGCACATTCCGAACTCCCTAATCTAAGTGGTTTAGAAAGATGTTAAACAGCACTGGGCCTGAAACAGAACCCTATGGCACCCCACTTTTCACCTTCCTCCAGGTTGACCGGGCGGGAACCACGAAGTATCACCCTTTGGGTACAATCTACCAACCAGGACTTAATCCCCCTAGCAGTAATGGGCTCTAGTCCATAACTCACCAACTTCTGAACAAGAACATCATGGGGCACCATGTCAAAAGCTTTACTAAAATCCAAACAGATCACATCCACAGCACTTCTCTGATCCACCAAATTAGTATACTGAAAAAGGAGAGCAGATTGGTCTGACACGACTTGTTGCTAAGAAGGCCATGCTGAGATTTAACAATCACAAGCACTGTGTCTCTCCAAATGTTCACAAACAGACCCCTTAATAACCTGTTCTAAAAATTTTCCTGGAGTCGACATCAAACTAACCGGCTGATACTTTCCCAGATCATCTTTTTTCTATTTCCGAAAAACAGATACATTCGCTTTTTCACAGTCCTCTGGTACCATCCCCCTCCTCCAAGATTTTTTTTTTTAAAAAAACGAGTTTCCAGGTGACATCCACCAACTCCTTCAACACCCTAGGACAGTGGTGGCGAACCTATGGCACGGGTGCCAGAGGTGGCACTCAGAGCCCTCTCTGTGGCCACGCGTGCCATCGCCCCAGCCAGGCCCAGACCACTATTAAAGTGTCGAATTCTCTGCCAAGTAATTTTAAGTAAATGAAAGCATTTGGGATTGCTTTCCTTACTTTGTTTGGATCATCTTAAGTTAATGTATGAGTTGTTTTTTCTAAAGTAAAACCTCAGTATTCAGGTTAGATTGCCATGTTGGCACTTTGAGATAAATAAGTGGGTTTTGGGTCACAGTTTGGGCACTCCGTCTCTAAAAGGTTCGCCATCACTGCCCTACGATGCAATTCGCCAGGTCCCAAGGACCTGTATAGATTTAAAGCAACCAGGTGTTCCCAGGCCACATCCTCACTTACTCTAAATTGAAACCCTTATACTTTATCCTCCCCACCCTCCCTGTTGTACACCAGTTTGTCTACATGCTGCCCTGCCCTGGATGGCCCAGGCTAGCCAGATCCCGTCAGATCTCAGAAGCTAAGCAGGGTCAGCCCTGGCTAGTTTTTGGATGGGAGACCTCCGAGGAACACTAGGGGGCGTGACGCAGAGGCAGGCAATGGCAAACCACCTCTGAAATGTCTCTTGCCTTAAAAACAAGTCTAGCTCGCCACCTAGTGGTGCATAACGTTAAAAGAGCTAGAACTTCTGGTTGCCAGACAATCTCAGTTGCCAGGATCTCCTGGCTATACTATACACACTGCCATTCAATAATTAATTAATTCCTCTGCAGGAAAAAACAAAAACAACATAGCAATGTTCAAGCATAAACTTTCATGCGTCAGAGAGCTCACTTCATCATAGGAATGAGCTGTGTATCAATAATGTTGATGAATTTATATTGAAGGCTACAAATAACAAAAAAGCAGGGAGGGGTGGGGCAGATGTTGCAGAGAGTGGCCAGTTGAAAACAACCTCTAATCAAGAGAGTGATCAATCCACCCATAGGTGGTCAGATCACTGGAAGACAGAAAAAGTGGGATTAATATAAAATTTTATGAAAAGCAGATCTAACTAATATGCTATAGAGGCTTATCTGATCAATTATCACCTTCAGAGGATGGGATACACAAGGTATTGACAACCACAGCAAGTAGGGAATCCAGAATCCTTGTGAAGGTTGGGGTCAGGGGGAAGAGAGGTTTGTTACACTTCTTGAGGAATTCAGTAAGCAATGTCACACTGGATTGTCCCTCTGAAGTCCTCTTGTAGGAGAGTAGTGACTTTCAGATCAGCAACAAATGCCCTGGAATGTTATACTGTTCACTTACCGGTTTTGTCATTGCAGCCTGGGGGTAAGGGGATGGGTTGTTCACCTAGTGGTGGGTGAGTGGAGGTTTTAAATCACCTGAGTGGAGGTAAGTCTCTGTCCCTTCCTTTTACAGCTTGTGTGATGTATGAGCCTCTGGTGTGAATGGAAAGGCAGGAACCAAAGGGCTCTTGACCTTTGGATCTTGGCTTGTGGTTCATGGCCTGTCAGGCCAAATTAAAGGTGACACGTGTGCCTCCAAGAAGACTATGAAACTACGATATTGCTTGCCTGATCTGTGCACAACCACAGAGATCTGTGGCTATGGATGATCCACCAGTGCCATAGAGTAATACCTCCAGAAAACGGGGACCTTCCAGGAATTTGTGGGGGAGAGGAAATCCCTGTTCCCACTGGTCTCCGCTTCCTCTTGCAGCCTTTTCCTGCCCCCTCTCTGCTCCACTGCCTCTGTGCAGCTCACCTGCTCGGCTGGGGGCAGCACCCCCTTCAACCTCACCACCAATGTTCCCTCTAAGTGATAGAGTTTTGTGAGCAGAAATTCTACTTGGTGAGCTACTGGCATTAAAGTTGTGAACGAGCGCTTTGGCCATTGCATAAATTAGTTTGCTCCGGAGCCCTCCTTCCTGAGCTGAGACAAAAAGGGGTGAGCCGGAGGCTAAAAAACTGTGAGCTAGCTCACACTAACTCAGCTTACAGGGAACACTGGTGTCAGCACAAGATGTCTATCTGAGGCTCACAAGTATTGCTTCCCCATGTACAGTATTGGTACTAGCTAGGACAAGAACCAGCCTAGCCTGTTCTTCCGTCTAACTAGTGCATTTTATGCCCCCTGCCTCCAAGGTCAGATTGCATGGTTCTCCCCTTCTCCATCTTATCCCCACAACAGCCCTGTGAAATAAGTTAGTCTAAGGGATAGTGACTGGACCCATCATCCAATGACAGAGTGGGGATTTCAGCCTGGGTCTCCAAGGCACTAGTCTGACCCTCTAACAACTACACCATGCTGGCCTTTAACAGCTGCTTGATCTGCAGAAAATCAGCAAGTGAAGCTTTTTCACAGCATGGAAACAAATATTATCAAAGGCGAATGTTTGCAGAGCAAAATGATGTTAAGGATGCAGGAAGAGAGGTTGGTAAAAATGTTGGCAGACTTAATTCTGTGAATTCCGAGTCAGCTGGCCCTGAATGTTTATCCGTTGCACGCAAGCCAAAGTGCTATTTTGAGATTTTGTATCCTTCCCATTGAACAAACAATAATCTTAATTTAAAAGGCGATTTAAATTGGATGCTACTGTATGTACCCAGGCAATTTTTTTCTTAAGTACTGCTTTAATGTTCATTAAATGGCCAATTTATGGGTTTGAATGAATAATCTCTTTAAGGCAGGGAAGTGAAATTACATAAGTATTCAGTCTGGTCTACACAATGTAACTTAACATGTTCCAGGTAGTGTTGTCAAGTAAGAGTACTTACACAAGTGTTGGTTGTTCTAGATGGTAATCTGCATTGAGTCACACAAAGGGTCTTTTAAGAAACAATCCCATGGTGATATGTTTCCCCTCCTCTTTTCTCTCAGAGTAGTGGAAGTTTCTTATCCCATAAGACATTGCAAGATTAATAAAAAAAAGATGTAGAGGTCAAAACTGGAAAAGGAGAATAAAAAGATGGCCGTCTCCATTCTCTCAGACAGTTTGGCATCAGGACTTGGTAGTAAAAGATCCTAAAAGCCTGGTTCCCCAGTGAGTATCATTCTGTGGCCAAAAAGATCATGTCAAATCATCATGGAATTGTTGATTTCTGAGATGATAATCTAACAAGTCAACAAAACAAATGCAGGTAGTAAATCTTATAAACCAACACATATAATTCTATGTCACGTAAAAACAAAAATCTCTCCATGGAGTCTGTCTTGTGTATACAAGGGGTGTGTTCAGACGGGCAGCTAATCCCGTCATTATGGCAGCTTGAATTTTATCCCCATCTTTTTAATCCATTGTAGCACGACCAGACATCCCCCTGGTAAATCGCCTTACCACACGCTGCCTCCGTTGTGGATTGTCTAGATGGCATCCATTGAGGGAGGCATGCGCAGTGGGTTTTTAAAAAACTTTTGCACATGTGGATAGGAGTCACAGCGCATCATTGAAGGAGGCGTGCGGTCGGGGTTTTTAAAGAAAACTTTCTGCACATGTGCATAGATGTGACAGCACGTCCTTGTTGATCCAAGAAATAAACCAGCACTTAGCGGCTGCAAACCAGGGTACTTAGTCCCTCAGCATGTCTTTAAATCCAGAATGGTGTGTGACAAGACTCCACCATGCATGAATAGCAATCCACCACCTCTACACTCAAGTCTGGAAGAATATTTTGTAATCGCTTTTCTTTGGGTGGGCATATATCATTAAGAATGGCTTGGGTTTGCGTAGTATGTCCTTTTCCTTATTGCTGAATCTTTAAATCAAGTTTCTCAAAACACATCTCCAGTTACTCAACGTCATCAAGGGGTCCAGGCTTCCTTCAATGCATTGGTCAAGGCAGACCAGTAGCTTCTCAGGAGGAATGCCAATCCAGGGGCATACCCTAGAGTTCTACTTTCATCACGGGAAAAAAGCCAAAATCAAATCAGTTCTCATAATCAGGGGAAGCTGGACAGGAACACCCCACGAGAGAGTTCCAGGGGGGTAGCCATGCTGGTCTGTAACAGAAGACGTAGATTTGAGCCCAGTCCGCAGCCAGGGTTCTGTGGCTTGTGGGGCAATTTTGTTTCCTGGTGGGGCTGAAGTTCACAGTGCAAGAAGAAAAGCCATTTAGCCAATAGAAAGCTGTGACCAGGATAGATCTCTCAATTGCTAGCTGTCAACCACTGGAGATGACAGCTCTCAGCGGCTGCAAGTTAATCACGTCTGCCAGCCTAAGCAACAATTCTGATAAGCCGGCAGGTGGGGGCGATGACTTCTATAGTCAAGAAAGCTAACATTTAGGCAGAAAAATTCTCCTAAAGGAGACCAGTTTCTTGGCAGAGTTAGAAGGGATCCTAGAGGTCACCTACTCCAACCCCCTTGCTCAGTGCAGGAATAAGCCAACTACAGCACCCCATTCTGCTTAAAGGAGAACAAGCCTTTTAAAAATGTTTTTAAATGATTGACAAAAGCATTTACAGGAGAAATTCTTGTGGGGCTGTGCCTTTTATTAAAGGTTCGGAGCCCCCAAAAGCCCCACCGTAGCTACGGGCCTGGTTGCACCTTAGGGACCAACAAGGGTCTTGGGGATCAGCTTTCAAGAAAGAAGGGAGCTTTGACTCTTGGTTTATAATCTTAACTCCTGAAAATCTTATAAGTCTCTAAGGTGCTACTGGACTGGACTCGACTGTAGCCCATGGGAGAGAGTGAAGATAACAGCATTGCCAGTTTAATCTGTAAAGACAGCACCCAGCTCAACTTGGCCAGCTTGGATGTGCCAAAGTTAGCTGGCAACTGTGATGTGATTAAAAGAAGAAGAAGAAGAGAAGAAGAAGATTGGATTTATACCCCGCCCTTCACTACCTGAAGGACTCTCAGAGTGGCTCACAATCTCCTTTCCCTTCCCCTCCCCACAGCAGACACCCTCTGAGGTAGGTGGGGCTGAGAGAGCTCTTTTGAGGACTGCCCTTGAGAGAACAGCTCTGAAAGAACTTGTGACTGACCCAAGGCCACACCAGCAGCTGCATGTGGAGGAGTGGGGAATCAAACCCGATTCTCCCAGATTAGAGTCCGCACTCCTAACCACTACGCCAAACTGGCTCTCAAAGTGTCTCAAATAAAACCAGTCCTCTAACAATGATATCCCTTCCCTCAATACTGGGCTGCTAGTGACAGTAGAAGAAAATCTGGTCGGTATGGATTAGCCCCAAGAAGATCCTTCCCCGCACCTTTCTTGTTCTTTTCCTTTGTGACGACGGTCATCGACATCGTTGGGGCGGAAGCAGCTTCCCCACTTGCAGGGAGCCGGCTGACCTGGAGAGACCGGAAAGTGCATTTCAGTGTGTTCTTAGCAGCAGAGGGATCTTTCTTCTCAACATCTCTTTTCTTCTCCAGAGGATGAGTTGCAATCCAGTAATCCACTTGCAGGCCCATCAACTCCATACCAAAACTCTGGCTAAAAGAAAGGAAAGAAAGATTTCTGTCTATAAACTGTGACAAGCTCAGGAACTTCAGATGCAAAAAACAGGCATTCAAGAAAGATTGTTGACCCATTTCCACCAAGATTTACCTCCCAAGTCCATTGTTTGCTACAGGCATTTCATGTTATTACCCAATGACAAAACATAACACGAGACACACACGTGTTTGTTTCCAGTAGACAGCAGGATGTCAAGGCCTCATCAATGATCTTATGGCCCACATACATTTAATCCTTGAGACAGATTTATGTCACATAAGAACAAGACATGTGTTGATCTGCACACCCATCTTCAAAACATAATGGTAGAAATAAACTGCAGTTTCTATTTCTAAGCCACACCGCTTTACCACTTAAATGGCACATAACAAAAGTAATCTTTACCAGCTGAAAACTGATACCAGCTGAATGAGAGCAACATCCCAAGAGTAGCATGAGCAGCTAGATGGGGGAATCTGAACCATTTTCTATGTCTGAGTTTTCTCCCTGAAATCTTTCTACCTAGATGGGGGGGGTATGATTCCTCTCTCCTGCAGTTCCTCAAAGGCCCCAGGGAAATTTCTGCTCCACAAATGTCAGGATGACAACAATACAGAAACCATATCCCTTATGTGACTTGACTTCCACTTAGCACCTCCTATTAGATAGCAATTAAGGAGAGCCCCTCTTTGGTAGCTAGTACACTGTAGCAGGAATCCACCAAAACTTCAGTGGAGTCCTTTCCCCAAGTTTATGGATTTCTGTGAACAGTATTCTGTGAGCTCTGCCTTGAGTGCTTTTAATATGCCACTTTTCAAATGCAATCTGCAAAGAAGCTATTCAGTCAGGCAATCAATCAAATCAGAAATATGAGACACACAAAATAATAACTTACTCAGCTGTGTATGAAAGTCAGAGTGCAGAGAAATTATCCACACGGTTGTTATCCCCACCTCCCACCCTGAGGAATTAATGTGACTGACAATCATGATAATGACACAATCACGTTCCTCCTCTGGTACATGACCATGTCTGCACTCTGAGGTCTGCACGCTTGTGGAAGACAAGCACGATCCAGAATTCCTAGCCTGGCTCTCACTACCTTAGTGAGAGGACAGATCCATGTCCTCTTCTTTCCATATACAGATGAACCTGATGCTAAAACGGTCCATATTGTTTCTCTGCTTGTGACTATCAGCCCATGGACTAAAAACACCCCTGAGAGAAATGGGAATGTGAACTCCTGCTAATGAATTTTTTTTTTTAATCAGAAGGATGCTCCAGATCTGATATAAATATTATTTAATATAATGGAGCTCTTTAAGCCAATAGATACAAGTTGATAACGACAAGATGAAATATTTGGTCCGATGAGAGTAGAGATTATATTAGAAAGATTAGGGGTAAACATCATCTTTATAAACAGACTAACTCACGTGTTCACCTGTTGGACTTTATCTCACTGAAACACACTTTTAGAGTTTTGATAAAGTGCAAGAAGTGGTATGCCGTAGGTAAGGGGTGCAAACTTCTTTTTTCTACTATTGATAACAGCGAGATGCAAACATTTTGGAATTTGGTTAACAACAGTATTTCTGTGGCATCTATTAGGCTGTTACGGGTCGCTCCTAGAACCTGCGAACAGCATTTCTCTACTAGACAGCATTCTATTAGAACTCTCTTAAACTGACCTATGGACCCAGATTCTGCTGAAGCCTTTTTAATCAAGCAAATGTCACTTGGTAAGGGGCCTGGGCCAGATTTAATACTGATTGATCTCTGGAAAGTTAACGTGCTGTGGTAGAGTGCACTGCTGGCTGCTTTTTACTCAAGTCAATGCAGGGGTCATTTCGTAGAAAAAGAGGTGCAGGAGCTCATTAGCATAACTTATTTGCATAGGCCACACCCTCTGACATCACCGGAAGTGTGTCAGAAGGCAACACTCACCGCTCAGGCTCCACTGGACTGTTTTGGATTGCTAGCTATTGGGGGGGGGGGGAACGTGCAGATCTGTCCTCACAGAGGAGGGAGAGCTTGTACCTGAATAAAACTTGGTCTTAAAGGTGCCACTCGACTGTTTTGGGCCCGGGAGGGGCGGGGCTCTGCAATTTACCTGGCTGCTTCTTGCTCTGACTGAGGGCTGCTGGGAGCAGGGGGCGGGGCTTGTTGAATGTGCCCGCCCCCTGGGCTCTTTACTGCCGGAGCTCCGCTCCTGTGCGCTCCTGCAGGAAATGACCCCTGAGTCCTAATTCCATCGATATGGAAATATGCAGCAATAGTCCCTATACATAAAAAGGGTGCCAGAACTGACCCTGTGAACTACTGGCCCATACGTCTGCATTCAGTGGCATGAGAGGTATAGGTCGCCTTCCTTCATTCTAAGCCTTTGAACTGGGTAGAGGCAGAATCCACCCTCCATCCTGAGCAAGGATTCAGAAAGGGTGTTTCAGCCTCTCATCACTGCCATATACCAGCTAGTGGATAAATATTTTTCTCCACCAACAGGCTACCGTTGTGCAGCATTTAGGCAGCAAAAATATCACCTTTGGGCCAAACCGGGCCAGCCTTGTGAGGTTTCAAGAGGCGGTGTCATCCTGCTCCAGGTTGGAGAGTGGTCCGGCTGTTCTTCCCCCCTTCCTCCGCCCTGCTTCACGCTGGGCCAGCCAGATGGTCAAGGCCAAAAAGGGACTGATGTGGTGCTGTGCCACGGCCCGCCACCATACTGAGCCCCACCATTTGTGTCCCCCCCCCCCGTGCTGCTGTCCACTGGAGCTTCCCTGGCCACGGGGATCAGGGGTGTGCTCAGACTCAAGCTTCTAAGTACCAGGAGCTTCTGGGGTGGCCCAGACACACCCGGGTAAATCCAGGACTGGAGCGCCTCTGCTCCTAGGCAAACTGGCAGAGGTTCCTTCTTGTTGCACCCCCAGCTTAGTAATTACATCTGGCACAACCAGCCAACAGAAATTGCACTGTCATCCTGTTCCTAAAGCATCCCTAAACAATGTTTTCCAATTTTTCCCCTTTATGATCTTGTTAAACAGAAGGGTTTCTTAACTTTCCATTTCTTAAAATTTAACCTTTCCAAAGGGACTGGCCGGTAATCTCCAGGGACGGACTATATACAGGGCCATCTTCAAATAAAGCGCTCTAAACAAAGTTCCCTTTCTCCCTGTGCTTGGCATCACCTTCAGGGTTCTCAAACTGAACTGACCGTGGTAACGTCTATCATATGGCATGAGGGTTTTCTTGGTATACCTGGTACACTTCCCAGCCACTTCAGAGAAAACTGAATTAATGCAATGAAACAATGCTCAAGACAGCACAGAAGCCGTACTGTGAGACAAGGATCTCTCAGGAAACCTCACTAAATTTAACTTCTGAAAACAGCCTGAGATGAAGAAAAGTCGGTCTGGACAGAGAATGTGGGCAGCTGGCAAGAAGAGATGGAATCATCAAAGAACACACACACACACAAAGCAAGCCCATTTATACTTTTGCATTTGGTAGCGCGAGACCGAGGAAACGGCAGAAACTGCTTTACCTGGAGGAAGAAAAGCTGCCCGTGACAGACGGTGAAGAAGGTGGGGTAGGGGAAGAGTCCTTCACAGCAGGAGACACGGAAGGCGGGGAAGAGGAAATGACACGCGAACTACAAGGAGCTGCGTCATCCGAGTCACCTTAAAGAGAATGATTCAAGCGGTTGGTCTGCAGAACACCAGTTGCGCGCCAAGTCGGTGGCCATCAAAAGCCCAAGTCGCACACCAAGGAAGGATGGCTGTATGAAATACCTAGCCTCGCCCAAAGACCAAGGCTCCTGTTCAGTACAAAGAATGAAGGATTCCTCTCTCACACACAGGGGGCTTTGTTTCTACAAAAGGTAGCAGGCAGTGTTACACTTCAGGTATGGCTCCCAGCTGCAGATGATTTTTTTTTTAATTCATTTTTTTTTAACCACACAATTACAACAATATTTGACACAAAGAACAGTTACCAGCTCGCTTAAACAGTTTTCCCCCGGTAGCTCAAAGGAATAAAATAACCTTTACAAATGCACCTAATACAACCACTTAAAGCATGCATCAAACACAGAACAGTTAAAAGAACAGCAACTTTTTGTATAACGGTTTTTTTGGGATTGTCTCACTATTTTCTAGATAACTAATGATAGGAAACCATACCGCCCGAAACCACTCTTGGTACTTTTCTGACTGCACAGCTGAAGAATTATATGAGGTGTGCGCCCATGAATAAAGCATTCCCAGATCTTCTTTTGCCAGCATGTTAACGTGGGAACATATTTTTGTTTCCATTTTTGTGCTATCGTTATTTTTGCCAACATCAGTAAAGTCGACACTAATGTTTCTGAGCTTTTTCTACTTACAAACGTATGCCATGTCTCCAGAAAGATGGAATCTAGAGTGCAAGGTAAGTTTATTTCTGTTATTAGTGCAATTTGTTGAATTATCAGCATCCAGTAGCCTTTTATTTGTGGGCAGGACCACCAGCAATGCACACAGTCCACTATAGCACCAGTTTTTCCAGCATTTATTTGGAATAATTGGGTTTATTTTATGTAGAACTGCCGGTGTCATATACCACCTATTGAGTATTTTGAATGAGGTAAATCTAATGCTAAAAATATTGGAAGTGAAAGAATGAAGAATTCCTCTCTTGCACACTGGGGGCTTTGTTTCTACAAAAGGTAGCAGGCAGTGTTACACTTCAGGTACAGATCCCAGCTGCAGCTGATTTTATTAAAGGGTTGGCTCCTTGGAATTTTTTTTAAAGTCCTGTACACACACACACACACACTATATTGTGCTCAGCCCACACAACCGTAACTGTATAGGAACTGGGAAGGACAGTCGCATTCTGTACATGACAAACTAAATGAAATGGAAAGTATCACAGCTTTTCAAAGTAAAAGTTCACTACCGTTATTAGATTTCTTCCCAGTCAAATGAATACATGGGGGGGGGGGGGTGCTGCTTAACTAC